TATTTATTTATTTTTGGCCTACGTGGCTCGAGAGAAGAAGCGTGCAGTCTATTTCACGTGCACCGCCGCCCCACAACTAAAACGCCCTCCACGGTTGTTTGTTTGTTTATATGATCTATCTTGCCCACGGACACGCAGCAGCCAATCACGGCACGTATAGTCTTGACTCTTGCGTCCTGGTCTTCTATTCCAGGCCAAAGTGGGTCCCACGTTTTTTGTATTTATTGGCATCACGACCGTCCATCGCTTTGACTGTGCCCATCTGTCGCCATGCAACAACCAACAATACATTATTGAATTTCCCACTGTACCACAATAAATAAATAAAAAGGAATGATTTCATTCGATGGGTTGTGGTTGTGACAATTTAGGATCACAGCCCAACCAGCATCTTGGATTAATAAAATTAGTTGCTCTTTTTGTACTAGTCATTCTTCATCACATATTTATGGGAATTTAGTTTCATGTCTTTTCTAGAAAATAAAGATTTATTTCTCATGTTCGGTAATGCTGGGAAAGTATTTATGAAAATTTATTTAGTTTTTCAATTATACTTCTATGTTTGCTGTGATTTCCGATGGAAAATGAAATTGGAATTGAAGCTTGATGGAGGGTTTCATTTTCGGCCTCATTTTCTCATGAAGCATGAACCATTTTTTCAAACTTGAACTTACCAAACATGATAAACGAAATGATTTTTCATTCCCAAGATTCTTTTACCTCCAACCAAACACTTTCGAAGAAATAACTACTCCTAGGAAGTAAAAGGACAAGTAGTGTTGTTGTCATGAAAATAGTTCCCACATGTGGGCTGTGGTTTGATGACAGCACCTAGCTGTAATGGTAGAGGGGAGAGCCAAGTCGTAATTAATTATAACCCTTAAAATGAACCTTCGTAGGAAAAGTCTACGTGCGTGCGTGCGTCTTGTATTTGATGTAAACAAACCAATGAAGTAACCAGTAAGCAACCAAACCCTGTACTCTCTCTCTCTCTCTCTCTCTCTCTCTCTCTAAAGATATATATAAGCTCACAGAAGCTCAAATCAAGCGGCAAATTCATAAGAAATATATTCAGAGAAAAAGAAAAGATGGGTTGGTCTGAATCAGGGAGAGGATGCAAGAAGCACCAGCTGTTTGGAGGCGACGACATGATGATGAAGCAATATTCATCGCCAGGTGTTTGTTCGTCTTGTCTTAGTGAGAGGCTCTCTGAGCTCTATGCCCCCTCCTCAACTTTCTTCAGTGAGAGACTTGCTCGTACTGTTTCTTCTCCCCGTAATCAATCTAATTCCTCGTCTTCTTCTGTTTCCTCCTCCGCCCGCTCTCCTCCTGTTAATAATTATTATTATTCTACAAGCTTCAGCGGCCGAGGCCCTCAGCGTCATCATCGGCGTCATGCTTCGGAAATTTTGGGTTCGGTTTCTTTCATGACAAGGAGTAGCACGAGTACTGGTGGTGGGTATGGCCGCGGCGGCCATGATGATTATGATGATGGGGGGATGAAGAAGAGCAGATCGGTCGCCACGGTTGTTTCGAAGACAAATCATCATCGTTTCGGAGATCAGAAGGCCAGTAGTGGTGGTGGGAAGCAGAAGAAGAAAAAAAGAGGGTTTTGGTCGAAACTGCTTCGGACAACGGGGAGAAAAACCAAGGAGGTTTTGAAGCACTCAAAGAGTAGTCTAGTATAAATATTTTTATTATTATTATGTATGTCTTTCTGTACCACAAGTAACAAGTTAGGATGTGAAGTTTGTAATTTGTGCAATCAATCGTGATAAGGTCTTGCTTGTTCATAGTAATCAAACAATTAGCGTTTTTTTCTGTGGGAGGTAGACTAACTAATTGATGGTTATGGATTTATTTGAGTTCATGCCAAATTTAATCCATATTGGATGCCAAATTCAAATGTTGCATAAAAGAAATTTTGCAGAATATTTGTGATGATATAATGTTTTACAAGTTAGACCGCAGTTGACATCCTTACCCTTTTTTTGCCTCCTTGCATCAAAATTTCTTCAAAGTTTCACAACAATTGTGATTGGGGAATTTGACAATTTGACTTGAAAGGGCCTTTGTGTTTGACCACGTGCAAGACATTTTCTAATATATTATTCTTTGGTCTCATCCAGTTAATTGATTTGAATTGATATGGAAGTTGCATGCATGGCTTGAATTGTTTTTATATGATTTGCTTCTCTGACTAAAATTTCAAACTGTTGAAGCTCCTGATCAAATAGATCCAGTTCTTTTTACCTGATCAAAATAGGTCTGTTTTTTTTATATAAAAAAACTCTTCCCTTAAAATAATCATCCTCACCGGGTGAAGCAGATATCATCACAACAACAAGCTCTATGAAAGAATGTCAAAGAAAGAATCGCATGTCAAATGAAAATGAGTTGAATCTGGAACTGGTAATTTTTTGAGAGTCGGCCACTAGGTTACATTGCAGAGGATAAACAAAATGGCGACATTCTCTTACAATTACACGTATAATTCAAATACAA